CTATATCACTTTATTGGCAACAGTATGAAAGTCATTGCCATTGTCTTCTTGCAGGATATTTTTAGATGTCACCGTTTACTCTACGGTGGGGGTCTCCCACCCCGGTTTTAACCAGGTCCAATCCTGTTTAACTTTTTGAAGTCAGCTAGATATAGCCACTTAGCTGGACAAAGGCAAAACAACAGCCCTCTTTTCTTCCTGTCTCTTCCTGTCCCCGACAGCAGATTGATAACCTGAGTCAGAGCAAATGTGGAGAAGAAAAGAGGACTTGACAATTTCAGGTTTTTTAGCGAGGCACTTTAAGGTGTCCCTTGTTTTACTGGCATCTGCTCTGAATTCACTTCAACCAGGACAATTTAACTGTCAATTTTTTAAAAAATGTCAACAATATCTGTGGAAATTCTACATTTCTTGGTTTTTTTTTTTTTGCCAAGAATACAACACAGCTGTAAAATAGCAGAAGAAACTAGGGCATGCTGGCTGAACTGCTGTTGTGAGTGCAGAAATGGCAAAGTTCCCAGAACTTCAGCTTTATACAAATACATTAAATATGCACATTTTATATAAAGGGATATAAACCACAGGAAGCAGAAGTTAAACAACTCTAACTGAATTTTTTGTTGTTGTTGTTTGAGACAACAAAGCCAAGCACGTCGGTTTAATTAAAGGGGAAGGTAACATAGTGTTGATTTGAAAAATGATGTGCAATCAGTTTGATCATTTAGATATTAGACTACAATCCTATCTGTGCTTGCTGGAAGGAAGTCTAATTAAGCTCAGTGGGACTTACGTCTGAACCGGCATGCATAGGATTGTGCTGCTATGCTGAAACCTTCTATCTTAGCCTTCCCCAACCAGGTGCCCTCCAGATGGGCACTGGGTAGGAATTAGGAAACAGAAATCCCAGCACAACTGGAGGATACCAGGCTGGGCAAAGATGTTATTAGAACTGGTCAACATTTCAGGTCCATATACAAAAAGGTTCTTTGGAATATACAGGGACGCTCATGAAGAGGCTGTTTTCAGCTCTTAAAATTGGCAGCATCTTTTCCCAGGATTGCGTGGCTGCCCTCCCCAGCTGCAACATGATCGCTGGAAAAGACATCTCTCATAACATCTTCTTTGATGTTGAATCTCAAGTACTGCACAGCCCTTGTGGTTCAATTTAATTTTCCTAGAATGAATCCCACTGAATTGAATGAGACTTCCTTTTGAGCAGACACGTGTAGCATTGACTTCTTACTACTCAAGACAACTAACATCACATTTTTCCAGGGTAAAAGAGTGCTCCAAATGATTTAGAAATCCTAAAACAGGATAGTATGACAATATACGATATTGTCATATTACAATAATGCTATATTGTCATAGATATAAATGTGCTATATACAATAGTATATTTATATATACAGTATGACAATATAAAACTCTTTTAATTCTCCCTTCTGGGATGTTGGACCAGACAAAAAGAATAAGGGTTAAAAATCACTCCAATCCCTATTATTTTTGTTAACAGCTGTGGGACTGATATGAAAGTAAAATTCTGGATTAGCCTTCAAAGCCCTGGCTGAGATACCCTAAAGATATTCAAGTCTGGCGAGTTACATAAAGTATAGGGTTCTCAAGGCAGGAAGAAAAGAACATCAGAGAACAATAACATTTTAGCCAGAAACTGCACTTAAAAATGGAGATGAGGATGATCACTGAGGCATCCTTCTTTTCGACTGCGAGATTATTTGCAGTGAACAGGAGCTGCACGCATGGGGCTGCTCAAATCATGCAAATGGGTAGGTTAATTTCAAGAGACATGGTTTTGAGACGTGTGTCAATTTTGGTTTTTAAATTTTGCAATTTAAGGTCATAGGGGTCCACAGGTCCAAGAAGGGGAATGATGAAATGTGCATCAAGATGTCCCAATCAAATGCCACAACTTTTGCATGGGCATCTGATAATCTGGATGCAGTTATGGAGGGTAGGGCTTGCATTGTGATGTCATTGCTCACATAGCATTTTCCATTACCATGGCAAGCTGTGAATGCTACATTGAAAATGCATTAAACCTATCCAAGGACGTGGGGTCTCTTATTTGATTTCCTGCCCAACATCAACAGGTAAGCACACTTCCAATGTTCAGCAGTTTGCTGCTTTATTGTATGTGGGAGTCTGCAGAAAGAATTCAAGAGTTGCATATCTTGAATGACCTTGCTGGAAATATGCAGGAACTGTTACCTAGGCACAAGGGGCTGCAACATTTTTTAAGTCGAGAGCAACGAAATAACATTTGGAAGTGGCTCAGGCAGACACCTCCCTAATTCACTGGAGGGTAAGGAGGAGGAGGTACAGCACAATCAGACATGCAAGACTCTGTTATTATAGCTAATCTCAATAAAAGTTGTTGGAGTTGATTTCTTGGTCTGGTTTACCTCGTGGGACTGACAAGTGGCAAACAAGTAACCAAAATCTGGCAATGTTTAGACATCCAGAAATGATGACATGGAAGAACAAAACAAAACATGGGTAAGGAAATCATTCAGTGGTTCTAACAGTAAGTTGCTCAGCCTAAGGACCAAAGTCTGAAGTAGAGATGAGGAAGCTATGATGCTCCAGAAGTTGCTGAGTTACAATTCCTAACACCTTTCATCACTGGCCTTCTTGGCTGAGATGGTTGGGAATGATTGTTTAGCTACAAATAGAGGGTCTACCTTCTTGGCTTGATGCAATAGGTATATAAATGCATCTCTCTGGCTCTCCAGGTCACCTAAGATTCTATGCTACTACTCTGGCTGTTTGCTGGATGACATTACAACAGATCAAAGAGCAGGGTAATAGTTCTCCCTGCATGAGAACTTTTCCTGTCCTTGCTGCTGCCAAAGTTCCTTTCAGTTGTTTGGGCCTAGCAGCATTTTATGCAGGAAATCTATTTCCAGATTTTCCAGCTTTTTAAGTTTATCCTGAAAAGCTACCACTGAGGGAAGATTGGGTGAGAGTACCAGAGCTGAAGAAGGGGGAGATTTAATTACTTTTCCCTGCCCTATTTCCCTGCTCTGTACAGATGCTAGTAACCCTGCAGCAGAAAATAAATCCAACTAACAGCTATCCTTAACAGCGTTGGAATAATAAAACTGAAATAATAATGGGGCCAAATCATTGATTCCTTGTTGCTTCTTCCATGTAACGATATGGGCACTGCTTGCTGGCTTTGCAACAGAGAAATGAGCTCCTGTGTGTTTGGAATAACAGTGAATTTTTAGGATAGCCAATCTGGATGTGATCATGCTGTATAGATTATTTTCATAATGAGTAAGCACAGTGTTTTTTCCCATCATGACACCACCACCATTACTTTTCTACACGTTCAGCTTCTTTGCTCTTAGTATCTTTGAAATGATAAAGTTCAGAATGAACTCACCACATTTCTAACCATGTTCTAGAAACACAGCTGACACATATATAATTGGACTAAGAGATTCAAGGTTGTCCTATGACATTTTATTGCCAGAGATTGAGATCAAGATGATGCTGGTCTTCCCGTTTATAGAGAAGACAGCTGAGTCATCTTTCTGCATTAGCAACGGGATGGTGTCTTCTACAACGGGCTAGTTTAGGGGCCCCAGGATGGTTGCAAAGTGAGGTGATCACCATACTTTGGTGGGATTGGCCCTGCGTGGCATTACAAATTGAAGCTAATATTGGATTGGAAAAGTGCCTGTGCTTGCCTTTCTGAGGCAGAATATATGGATGTGATTTATGGATGGAGAGGGGCCAATCTACAGGATCCATCCGTTTCCATCAAATCTAATGTCACTGTGGCGTTTTAACAAGAGCTGCATTCCAGGCCACCACTAGGTTACCATTTTGTTGAAGTGTTTTTTTTATAAGTCACTGTAAGCCACATCAACCACTGAAACACAACAAGGCCAGTGGCAACAACTGGGCCACAGAGATGTGAAAGGCAAGGGAAGAAAACTCCCCACCCCTCAAGTCCTTTTTAAAATTTTTATTCTCCCACCCATTTTTCCTTTTGGGCCTTCACATTTCTGTTCTTCACTACAGCATCTTCCAGCCTTTACTAGGCCTGGAACTCTTCTTAATTGTGGTGGCAAGTCACTGCTTAGGTCACTGCCAGCGTATGAGTTAATAGCATGGCACGTTACTTATTTCTAGCTGAAATGGTGTCCGCTAGAAGAGTTGGCATGGCTGTTTTGAAGCTGCCTGAGCATGTATTCATGTACCAACAACACTTCTGTTAGGACCACCAGTGAAGGAAGGGATTATGCGTGCACACGCATAGCCTTTGAAACTGTTGTGCTAACCCTCTCAGAGGACACACTTTGTAGAGTGCCCATCTCAAATGCTGTGCATCGTATGCCGAGCCAGACTCTGCTATAAGAATGTCTATTTGAGTAGTGATTTAAGAACAGTTATAATTAGTTACCTAGTGACCCAATCAGTTTCATTAAGGCCATGGCTAAAATACCAGCGTAGCACAGGCTGTTATGCTTAAATTTAAAGATGTGCTTGCTATATACATGTTTACATTATACATTATTTCATGTATGTTTAAAAAATTGTTATGGACAAAGGGCTTACTTTTGAGGACTGAAGGTTTAGTGGAAAATATTAGCCATGAACTGCTTAAAATATTTAGCTCAAGAGATTTCTGGTTATATTCTAGACACTGACCAGGCACACAATTTATTCACAAGGCAACTGGGTAATATTAAGATTCATCATTATTATAGGATGTGAGCAAGCTATTTTTTTTTTTTTTTTTTCATATTGTGGGCATGAAGTGGCTGGAAAAAATGTGAGTTGTAAGGCTGTTAATTGATCCTGAGTCTGAGTTTTAGAGAATTCTTGATAATATATTCTCTAGATGATAATATATTTGGAGTTCTTACAATATCAAATTTCATCTCTCTCTCTGTTGGCAGTTCTCTTGTTTGTGGTTATAAAATCTTGCTCAAGAGGAATCTCAACCTTTACGCTTGTTTTTCTAGTGATTTGGTCACCCACGTTGTGGCTGAGAATAATTCCTGCTCTGAAATCCTGAAATGGCTGCAGAAACACAATGTGGAGGACAGTTCAAGATTCAGGATTCTCGATATCAGGTGGTTGACAGCCTGCATGGAAGTGGGAAGACCAGTGGATTCGGAGAAATATCAACTTCCTGTAAGTCAAGCAGGACAATGTGAAAGCAACAGGATGGGAAGGGTATCAAGCTGATAGATGGTTAGGCTAGACTGCTTAGGTCTAAGCTGATTACATTGGCTCTAAATGGGTTGAAATCTCAATACTTAATCTGCTTGTCATAGGTAAACTTACAGTATTTCTTTTCAAAGCACGGCTTTAGGATATCTTCCTTTTGGATAAAACCTTTCCAAGACATACAAAATAGACGCAAAATTAATGATAATCACTACTTATTATTACACAAGGTTGATGATCACACAAGGTTCATATGATCTTCTTTGGTACATCCCTTCCTGCTACTTAATTTTCCTCCTGCCCAACTGTGATAACCTGCAGTATATTATAGTGATCTTCTGCATGCTGAAGCAGGATGAATGTCACTGGCAGAAAAACAGTAGAAGGTGACTATTATCTTCATGCCTGTTAACTTCCCTTAGGCTTCTGGTTGGCCACTATGAGAAACAGAAGGTGGGACTAAAGTGAATTAGAGGTGGGCCTTGGATGGATTAGAGGCAGCATTGTATGCATTAAAGAGTCTTTACTGAATACCCTTCTTTAGTTCAGACTTTTTTGTACATAGGATTTGGATGACTAAAAAGGTAGAGATATTAGGTGCAACAGTTTTTCTAACGTGTTAAGTGTCCTCAGAGAAGGAGAATGTTAACCCACAATTAATATGTTTCTGTGTTATCATTAATTAGGACTACCTGAGCTACAAAAATCCAAATGCAATGTTAGCATTTTTGATGTTTCTGTTGTCATCTTGTGATCATCTGGATTTTGCAGATGGTAACAACTGTTGAGATGTTGGTCTGTGTAACCTGATGCAAACATAAGAGTCTCCGAAAGTTCTTCAGGTTATTGTGTTCAATTCAGCATAGTACTTTTACACTTAGGGTACATAAAAGCAAGTTAAGAACTAATGATTGAATTTTGAGTGAGCCTGAACATGGAATAGATCTATTCAATTGTACTGCAAGAATCCAAAATGCCCCACCAGGGGGAGCTATTGTTTAGAATGTTGCACAGGAATTATATTTTTAGCCATCATTGTCACTGGATTTGTGGAAGAAAAGGGCTAAAAATGTAATATTGTGAATCTGCAAAGCAATATGGTTAGACTTGTCAATACTTAGGGATAAAGTATTGATTAGATAGACTGATTAGATTCCATTTTGGCCACTGCCTGGCGTGGAGGCAGATACCAACTTCAAAAATGAATTTTGCAACACAGGAAACAGCAAATGAACTGTGTGTGTGAAGGTACACAAATCAAGAATAAAATATCCACCACAATTAAATTATATGACATCCTTTAACATGTCCATTCAATAGTTCTAGTGTTGGTAGTGTGGTAGTACTAGTAGTTATCAGTTTTTGCCAGCAGTTTCTCTCAATTTTTACATGCATAAAAGAATGTATACTAGAAGTTTACTATGGTGGATTATTATGACCCAGCATTTGGATTCTGGCTCTTGTCTCCAGTTCTTGACCATATGCACCAGCTCTTGATAGCTATTCCAGTTCTGTTTTTGTCTCATACGTCTCCCTTCAAATCCTCTTTTTCTGAAAACCATATTTTTCTTACTATTCTCAGCCTAGGTCCTCCTGGCTGTTTGTTTGTCTCCCTAGTCAGAGATAATTGCTGACTGAAGATGGATCAACGCTATGACAACAATTGTCTCATCGGGGAGGCATGATCAGAAGCTCCAGGGCTACATACACCCCTGAGACCTTACAGAATAATTCCCAGATCTGTTCCCAAATTGCATCTAAGTTGTAAAGTTGAATTTGACAGCACCTCCCACCTCTTTTCTCTACTTCCACCTTTTGAAGTGTGCTTCCCTATTCCAGCGCTTAAGTGTCAAGTACAGCTCTTGGCCAAGAAAGGTTATATAACTGTCTGATGACATTATAATATGGATTTTGAAAATAGTCAAGTTACCTGCAGCTAACAGCTTGAGGTTTTCCATCTCCTTCCCCTTTACAATATATTTGTTTTAAGAAATACAATAGTGTATGTATTTTAATTTTCCATAAATTGGAAAATTGAGTTAATTTCTTATGTTGTATCAATGTATATCCTTAGGTTGAATTTTTCCAATTTGTTGAAAACCATTTGACAAAAAGGAATGATACCAAAGAGGGTAGTATGTACTAATTTGCTTAATTACCCCCAACATAATCTTGAAAAGTTATAATTTATATGATGTCATATTAACAGCATCTATGGGTTATCTTTCTAGTCAATTCTCACTGACTTGCTAAAATAGATTTAAAAGAAATTCTACACTACCAAAAGCTCCCAGCAGATTCATTAACTTCAAATTCCAAATCATCCAGAGTTTTAAAAGACTTTCAGAAGAACTCATTGTAATTAACTTAAGACTTGTATATCACCTTTAAATGAAGTAGATGTACAGCATTATTGACTTGCTGTAACTGATGGGATCTAGTAATTTACAAAGAAATAGCTGAATGTGAATCATTCAAATCAAACGGGAACTTGCTTTTTTAAAGTCCATCAGTGTCCATCCCTCTGCTATAATTACAGCATCTCTGACAAATGGGACCCCCCCCCAAACCTATGTTTCAATGCCTCCAAGCAAAAAAAAAAATCATTCTTTGTTCCAAAACATGCGGCTTTTCAAGGAAAACAATTCAACATTCCTGTATTGAATAAGCGTAGGTACTTAAGAAGCTATTATACCAAGGCAAACCATATAATTCAAGATTATCTATAGACTGAGACTAGTGCCCCATGATCTTGGCCCTACTTGGGGATGCCTTAGAATAACAAAAAACTTTTGCCTGAAAAGCTTGTGGAGTTTCCCCAAAAGGAGAAGACCACTTTCATGGTCCACATTCTTCATCTGGTGTTAAATGATTTCTGTGTCCATGTACTTTATAAAGTACCCAAAATTAGATAAATGCATTCACCTCCCCCCAAAGCAAGACTTCCTCCATATTAGACTAATACAGTAACATGGGAACCTTTAAGCAGAGCTCTAGGTGTCCAAGAAAAGAATCAAGGAATAAATGGTCGATAAGTGGTGTCCCTGTGGGAAAAACAGAGTCTGGCAAAAAGATGCTGTTTTCTTCTTTAAAAAACGTATTTCACAAGCTTGAAATTATATAGAACAGCCCAGTTTGAAAATCACAGTCATTCCAGATAGATTAGTTCTTTACTGCCATATTTAAGTAGAAAAGGGGGAGTAGGTGCATACGGAAAGCTTTTTTTTCTGTCCCCCCCCCAACATATAACTAAAAAAAAGCTCAGTTTTCTTGTAATTTTTGCAATGTATTTTGAAAAGAAAAAATTACTGTATGAACATTGGAATCTGTCTTGGCAAGTAGCCAAATGAGATTCAGTAGGTTGCAACAAAATGATTTCAGGCTTGATCATAATATAATCTGTGAATTATACTTTAATGGTGATTTCTAAACCACAGACATCACAAAGTAGCAAAATGGGTGCCATAAGCAAGTCACCTAAAAATGTCGAAGACCTCAGGGCCAAATAAGAATGATAAAAAATGATCTCATACATTTATAAAACTGTGATTTCTACAAACTATTTCAACACTTTTATGGAAGAGCAGGCTGAAGAAAACACTGATTTGGTGCCTTGGTTCTCAATCCATAGTATGTTTACCACCAAAGGACTGAAAAAGTAATCTAGGTGGGTCACAGGATAAGGCCCTGAAATTTGAGGTGCTTAAAATTGTGTCTTGGTAAAAATCATTTATCAAGAAACAAACAAACTGCAGAGGGTCCAAATGACCATTTGATTCGTCCAAAGCTAGCAGGTTAAGTGACTTGCTGGTTTCTTGTATCCAGAAGTGCCAAGAACAAACCAAGGTTACCCAGATCTTATATAGACTATCAGTCAAAGAGCATGCACGCACAATGCAGAAGATCCTAAGTAAATAAAGAATTGCTTTGCAACTGATAAGGAGACAGGAGAAACAGAAGTACAGTCTATCCTTCATGGTGTGAAAACATTACAGACCCATTTCTAGAAATGCAATGCAGCAACTTGGATATGTAAGTTGGGCAAAGGCTGTACCTATTCTTCTAACCAGCCGACCCTGCATTTCTAGCAGGAAGAGATAAAGAGGTATGACAGTATATACCCTTGAGTTCTGCCTCCTCTCAAGACATGAACTCTAATTAATTAGTCACTAACAGGCACAGATTGGCACCATAATAAAAATTCCACTCTTAAGGATTTTACAGGAGAGGTACAGAGGACATCTATAAACCTAAAGAAACATATAGCAGTACTACCATCATATAAGTAAACATACACATTGATTCAACCTGAGTTCTTATTCTAGCCTGCCACAACTGTAAATGTAAAAGTTATAATAAAATGCCTGTAAACATATAAATAAGCTTCTTGAAATAAGCGAGGTTTGGGTTTCTTTGATGGTATGACAGCTGGGATTTAAGGTACAGAAGGCCTGGAATCCCTGTCCTGCTAGAATCATAAATCCAATTAACTTCTCCTGCTCTTTCCAAACTTTTCCTTGCTGTAGTAGATGTGTCTCCTTCTCATAGTCATTGGGATTACATTTCACTGCACCATCCAACACTGTTGATGTAGCTGCCTTAGTCAACAGAATATGGAGGTCATAAAAGGATAACAAATTATCTGAAATTTATTTATTTATGCAATTTATGTGGCGGTGCAACTTGCAAAGAATACTGGATTAAAATTATGAAAAAGATAAACAAGATAAAAACTGGAATCAAATCATAAAACAGCACAAACCGAAGCCAAACCCAACAATCCAAACCATTTACAGATGGCTCACCCAACATCTGGTGAGTGCCTAGGGAAAACCCAGGTTTTTAAGGTCTTATGGAAGGCCAACAGGCTTGGGATCATCCAAATCCTTTGAGGTATGGTATGCTATTCCCAAGGGCAAGTGTCACAACAGAAATGGCTTGCCTTCTGGGTCCCATAAGATGACACTGTTTCATGGAAGGAAACTGAACCGTGCCTACTCTATTGGATCTCATGAAACAAGTGAAGATAGGTGGTACTGCAAAAAGGGTACAGGTCGTCCTCACGTAATGACCACAATAGGGACTGGAAAATTGGTTAAGTGGGGTGGTCATTAAATGAGTCACTACATGTCCAGAGCCGATTTTATGACCAATTTTATGAAAGTCGTTAAGTGAATCACTGCAGCCATTAAGCAAATCACATGGTTGTTAGACGAATCCTGTAGTTGTTAAATGAATCTAACTTATCCAATGGAGAATTTTGCCAGAATTTGCTTAACAACTGTGGTGATTCACTTAACGACTGTGGAGATTTGCTTAACAAGCATTGTAAAAAAGGTTGCAAATTGTGATCATGTGACCATGGGGGTGGTCTGATGGTTTGCAATGGTTGTAAGTGTAAGTACAGGTTGTAAAGCACTTTTTCTGAGGCCGTCATAACTTCGAACCATCAAACAAAAGGCTGTTAAGCGAGGACTAGCTGTATGTCTTTTTTTGGTGCTTTCGAGTCAGTGGTGTCTCCTGGCAACAGCCTGGATAAGTCTCTGCAGTTTTCTTGGCAAGGTTTTTTGGAAGTATTTACCCTTGCCTCCTTCCTGGGGCTGAGAGAGAGTGACTGCTCAAGTCACCCAGCTGGGTTTGTGCCTAAGGTGGGACTAGAACTCCCAGTCTCCCAGTTTCTAGTCTGGTGCCTTAACTGCTACAGCAAACTGGCTCTCATAGGTATCACTATTGTATTGTTAATACAAGGTGGACTACTAGGAATGGTCCCCAGAGCCAACATTATTTGCCTGGTCTTAATACTTTGCACTTTGCACTTTGACTTGGGTGGACAGCAAGGGTATGTCTGCCGTTTACCATTCATTCTCATGCAGAAAAATAGGTCTCTAACTATATAGGGGACTACCCTTAAATGGGGTTGGAAAACGTCTCTCAATACTAACTGCTGATAGTCATCTGACTAGTATGATGTTAGTAGTCTATCCCTTGCATGGATTTTCAATTTGTTTTCTATCCTAATTCAAAAGGCTGGTCCCTACCTTTAAATTCATGGTGATCAATGACAGCCTTGGAAGCCTGCAACCATGCTGATGAATTTGACTTTGTGCAATTGCCAAAAACTAGTAATTTTAGTGGTGCAAGTGCCATTCGGAAGTATCAGACTTAAAGTAGCTTTGCACAATTAAAACAAGCAACCAAGCAACCAGCCAACCAACCAAAAAACAAACGAGCAAACAAAAAACCCCATGAAAATTGTGGAGAACCCCAGTCCTACCCATATACATGATATCGACTCTTCTTCCCATCCATTGTAGCCTTCATTTCTTCTCCTCCTCAACCCCAAAAATAATCACATTTATTTATTTATTTGTTTGTTTGTTTATTTATTTACAATCAGTGTACCTCTCAACGCTCTCAACTAACTCACATAACTGAAAAATGGCTGGCCCGTTATCATCAGTTCAGATCAAGTTACCACATAAAATGTTCAGGGCATTCTAGTGTGCCAATAGCAAAGGAGCCAGCCTTATCTCTTGTTGCGGGGTGGGCAGCATTTTCCACAGGATGGAACACTGTGATTAAGAGGATCCATTTCCAGGCTCAATCCAGGTTATCCGGTGGATTTCCTTTTCTTACCTGAATGTCCACACTCACTGTGGTCTTCAGAAGGGCTATACTTTAGATATCTCTTTGGGCATGGAGGTCTATAGAATCAGTTCATCTCAGCAGGCCCCAGGTTCTAGAATTTATTGTCCTATGAAGTCCAGCTAATCACCTCATTGATCATGTTCAAAAGGTGGGTTAAAAGAACCCTGTTTCTATATACATTATTATACCACTTAGTGCTCTTGATAGTTTCTTCATGCTGTGTATTGTGTCCATGCCACAGTTTATTACTTGATTTTTCTAAAATGATTTTGACTACTACCATGCAGGGGATCCAGTAGGGTAGACGATGTAGGGGAGCATCAGACCTCACCCTTGCAGTCCCTTAGAAGAGCCCCCAAAATAAATCTATTCTTTAGAGCTTCCTCTTATGGGTACCATTGAGATACTGAATAGAATTTATTTTAATTTTATTATCTCATTGGGGTGGGGGGCAGTTTTAATTTGGCTTGCTTTCTGGCTGTTATACGTTATCAGTACTAACTTTGTGTAGGCAATATTTTTTATTATTCTAAATCACCACAACAGGTGTTTTTCTTTTAATCTCCAAGATAGCTGATAAGTATGTTGGATAAATTAATAAAATAATTATTGTCTCAACTGAAAAGTGAATATCTCCACTTTTATAATTGTTTGATTATAACATCATGAACATTTTCTTGCCTACTTAATATTGTTTTAAATCAATTATACTTTCTAGCTGAAAATAGTTGGAGCTTAGTTGTGGAGAATGCAAATACTTTTTAAAATACACAATTTGCTCTTCTATTATGATACCCCAGATTTGCCACATTCTGCCATATTATAGCATCAGCTCATAGCAGTTTTCTCTCACCTCCTAGGTAAGAGTGGCCTTTCTAGGTCTCCTGCAGTGGGCAAGTCTCATCACTCTGCTAGAGTCCATTATTTGTCACTGACCCTCATCTAAAATTAGCTGATCGTAACATAACCAATGTCTACTTCATGTTGCTCCAATTAAATTACAGCAGAATTAATTTGAAAACCCTTAAAAACCAATTAACCTTTATTTCAACTCTTCCCAATTTCTAGAGGTAGCAAAAAAGCCTACACTAAGATCATTCTGGTAGCAAAGCATCATGATCTGCTTAAACATACTAAAGTAGGGTCTTTTCTGCCAGGTTTTATTTCATTAAAATTCTTATTTTTACTCTGATATGTGTCTTGCTTATACAAAATTCATTGAGATGCATGTTAATTAGTTTGCATGTGTAGAACTAACTGGGTGTTGTTCTTACAGTACAAATGTATAGGATAACGTATTTGTACCTTTTACTGCAGTCATAAGGACAAGCTATCTGTTACCATCAGATCTTCCTATGTTAACACTTGCACTGTCTTGGAAACAACTCTGTCTTAATCAAGGAAGTAATATTATTGGATTTCAAGGCAGAGATGAGGCAACTGAAGAGAATTCAAGACTCCAAAAGTTTTACAAGAAAAGGAAAAGAGGGGAATAATAAAGCATGCAAGGAAGAGTAGAACTTCCTGATTGCTTAACCCAAACAGAAAACTGTACACTGTACACTCTTCTTGTGGCTCCCTCCAATGGCTGTGTGAGGATAGACAGCTGCTAGATCAGGCCAAAGACCCATTTAGCTCCATGTACTGGGCCCACAGTGGCCAAACAGCTGTCTCTCGAAAGCCCACATAAGCCCAACAGCATTTTACTGTACTTCCTTAGATTAACGATATAAAATGTTGGGAATTTGCACTGGGATAAAAATATATACAACAATAGACTTTAAAAAACCTCATAGAAAGGAGAGAGATGTTTATTTGAATCTGGTCACCCTTTATTAGCTGTATTAATAATGATTTTCCTGATTACCTTTGTCTTTACAAATGTCATTCTGAATTACAATGTCAATATGTGTGTTTAAAATGGTTTGTGCTTCTCATTAAGGTCATATATTTACTTTTAACTGTCTGGGTCTTTGCATAGGCCCACACATATCCACCCAACCACCCAATCGTGCACACAAGTTTTTATTCTCTTTTGAAAACCATTTGTCTAGGTGTTCTGTTTCTTTAATAACAAAAGGAATGAATGAATAAATGGATAAAGAGGTAAGTAAATAGGTCCCACCTAACTTCCTATTTTTTTTAATTCTGTAGGACCTGCACCCCAAGCAAGTTATTAAATATGTGTATGGAGCATAGGCCTGTCCCATAAATCTTAAAATTTGTCAGATGGGGCAACAAGGAAGGACTTTATCTGCATTCACTTTAACATGAATGTGGTTAAATGTGATCCTGCAGAAAATACACTTCACAGATCAGGTTACTCATTTGAAATGCTTTGAATCCTTTGGTCTCTGAGTTGTTGGATTGACAAATGGTATCTTTTGTCCCCGTCTATCTAGGAAGATGAAGATCGTTCTGTTACTTCAGATCTTGACAGAGATTCCATTTCTGAATATGCCTGCCAGAGAAGGACAACTTTAAAGAATTATAACCAAAAGTTCACGGTAGTATATACAATTTTATTGCCAAGCTTAAAGGAATCTGCTAATATTTTCAGACACAAGTTGTGGGTCATCCATCTATGGTTAATATACTCATCAGTTTTATTCATCTGGAAATAATTCCTGGTTAAATAAATATGTGTATGAAGTTTGGATTATTTTCCAGTTAAACTTTATACTTTTACAAACTCCTTGAACATAAGTTCTTATAGGTGATACATTCCCATGTACAATTCAACACTGAGCAGCTTTTCCTATTGCTACGCTGTGCTAGTGATGTCATTGAACAGATGGTCTCCATGGGTAGAATGCAATTTTCTGCACTGGGGGGCCTTGTGTGCATGCAGAGTCTTCCCTGTGAGCTGCAACCTGATAGTTTCTTGAGTTTATTACCTTGAACACATTTTCTGAGAATAGTTGTTCCAATACATTGGCACATAACAGATTGCCAAAGATACTTGAGAATGAATGGTAGTTCCTCTGATCTCACCCATCCACAGTTGTTGGAGCTACTTGTCAAATGGCTGGGAATTGTGTATGAGTTAAGGAAGTACAGAGACAGATCTTTTCTGACCTAATCAGCATCCTGCAAGGAGGAAGTGTGAAGGAAATATGCATACCATTAGCCTTTTTCCACATGGTTACTTGGTTCAGTTCACACACAGTCTCAGCATCATGAGTTGACACCAGAGGGTGTGAATCACACCCTGTTTTCTCTCTTTCTCTGTGTTTTCTTCTCTCTTTATATATGTGCATGAGAAAAACCAACTTAAACCGCTCTGTTTCTTTCCCAAATAAATCTTTATTGCAATTGGCTGCAGGAATGTCTGAGATAATTTATATCTCTTGGGATCTGAAGAACAATGACCATGAAGATTAACATTATTTGTTAAAGACAGTATGTAAGCTGCTGAGAGTTGCTATTGATTGGAGCAGTATGTAAGCCCAGCAAATAAATAAATAATCAATAAATAATCAAACTGAAGGCCACGTGGTCAAAGAATCATAAAGCTGGAGAGTGTTTTATAAGACATCTGTTCCAATTTCTGTCTGATGCAGGAAATTAAGAGTCAGGGTATTTCCACAGATAGCTCCCCAGGGTCTGCTTGAAGACACCCTAGCAAGAGAGAGCCCACCACCCATTTGAATGTTTAGTCCCGTAGCCAACGGATCTTTTTGTCAAAAGTCTTCTACAATGGCAAAGATAGGCGGTGGCCTCTGATTGTTTCAGTGTGTGCCCAGCTGAGATTTTCAAGCTGCATTTTCTATATCGGTAGTTCCATTTACAATTAAATAATTTAAAGAGTAAAGAGTGATGGAATGTTGAGCTTGGTGAACACTGAATTCATCACATGGTTTGTTTCAGAGCACAGTCATTAACAGTATGTTCTAATCAGCTAGAACTCATCACCCTGCAGGGTTCATCCTGATTTGGAACTCTGGATCCTCTGAAACTTCCATATGAGCTGCAACTTGATAGTTTCTGGAGTTTATTACCTTGAACACATTTTCTGAGAATAGTTGTTCCAATGCATTAGCACATAATAACAGTAAAGAATAGTTGTTCCAATACATTGGCACATAATAACAGTAAAGTGCTGTTATTTCAACCACATATTTGGGGGAAACAAAATTAATAAAATTAATAATTTAATTAAAGTTTATAAAATAAAATTTATTAAAGTAGTAATTGCATTTATTTATGAAATAAGTATTTTAGTTATTGATTGAGTAGTATCATTGATTTAGATTCAGGCATGTCAATTTTTTTGGAACACACACACAGTGGAATATTGGAAAGGAATTATGTAAAGGGGATTTACATTAGTGGGATAACTTTCCAAGAATGGAATGAGGTGTGAGAAGAAGGAGAGGGAGTATCTAAAGAAAGGCCAGGTTTGAAAATGAGTCAGAGCTGGCTGGAGGCTGCAAAGACAAAAAAATCCATTAGAAATTCCCCAGTGCATCCCTACCAGAGAGGTAGAAGGGCAATGCTTTGTACCTAAGGCAGGACTAGAACTCACTGTCTCCCAGTTTCTAGCCTGGTGCCTTAACCACTGCACCAAACTGGCTCTCTGTATTCATTAGAACTCTTAAATATTTTGGAGGTGTTGGGTGCAGCAGCCTGTGGTACTTGGGTTTCCCATCCCTGCTGTAAGACAAGGCTGTGCAATGCTGACAATCTCTTTGGTCTAATTTTTGGTGGTAGTTGACCTACCAATTTAGAGTTGTTATAAAGGTTACTGAGACCTTTGAGCAATTGAGAAATCTGAGCAGTTTCAAGAGCTGGGAGATGGGCTTTCCAAGGGTCATGCTGCTGTTCTTTCTGTCCAGTAACTATGAATATATGTAGGTTCTCAGATACAAAGAATGCTAATCATTCCATTGAAATGATGAACAGATTGGCTGTGCCAGGTCACAGACTGCAACCAGGTTCTGCTAGATGCTGAATTTTGATCCACCGCGCCACTAATAATTCAGAAACTGTTCAGGCTACTAGGTTGTTTTCTTCACTTATGAAATTTACACCACAATCACTGTCTGATGTGTCCCCCATAATTTTTTCAGATATGTTTTAACATTAAGATATATTGCTTTGTTTGGGTTGTTGGAATTTTTTTTAAATTTTGCATCCTCTAGCTGAATTGACATCTCAAAACAGGGACATTATTATACAGCTTTTGCGCCTGCTATGTGCCACATCTGAAGTCTGTTCCAGAATATATTGTTCTCTCTCATTTGCATCAATATTGTTAACAGCTATGTTTTTCTCTTCATTTTTCAATTAATACGATAACCTAGAATTTAAAAGATTTACTATTGTATGAAGGCAAATAACTGTAGACAACTTCAATCTGTTTCAGATTTTGCCTTGTCCAGTAATTAGTTAAGGGGGTAATGAGAATAAGAGAGGTGGCAGAACTACAAAAACAGCACGCTGTTGCCCTTTTGGAGTTGGGGAATGTAAAACTTGTATCCTAGAAAAAGGAATTAAGAATTTATAATGTTTGCAATTGGATTTATGAACAGTAGCGATTTTAAGCATGGATAAAAATGATCAATGCTCTCATGATATAATTTAATTGAGGAAGGAACTCTTTTTTTAAAGTGACAGTGAACTGTGTGGCTTGTAAGATGACACGTTAGACAGCAGCATAGATCTGTGTGAACGCTAGCACTGGTAATGAATGGGTGTCACCATTCCTGAGTTTCTGTTTGCGCAGTTCCTATAGCAAATGAAATGTGGAGGAAGCACTAGGCTTCTACAAATTCATCAGAGTAATTTTTTCCCTCTTTCCAGTGAGTGGGAAGGCTCTCTCTGTTGAAAGTTTGTCAGAATCCTTCCCTCCACAGTCAACAGTTAACTTGAAAGATCAAGACAAACTGATTACACAGATCCTGACTTGTAAAGCCATAATAACTTACAGGTCTGAACCAAGTCTTCACAGTTTATGTAGTGTGGACTATAAGATGGTGTTTTTATATTGCAATTTCCTATGTTTTTGAGGGACAAGTGGAAACTGGATATATTTCCTTAAACTTACCTTAAGCTGAAGTGTTTTTATTATAGAAATATAACTATATATTAGACTGGAAAAGCCTAATGCCAGTTTGAGTCGAGTCAGTTAGAGTCAGTTTGGTCTAATGGTGAAGACACCAGGCTAGAAAGCAGGAGATGGTGAGTTCTAGTCCTGCCTTAGCCATGAAAACTGGCTGGGTGACTTTGGGCCACTCACTCTCTCTCAGCCCAACTCACAAGGCTGTTGTTGTGGGGAAAGTAGGAAGAGAAAGGAGTATAAGCTAAGTTGAGTTATTTATAAAAATAATAAAGGCAGGATAAAAAAAATAGAAAAAAATCTAATGTAGCATAATGTAACTTATCAGTTAAGGCCATTTTCCCCACTACTGGCTTATAATAGCCTCACCTTTGTTGAAGTGACGTAGAACCTGTCTTTATTACTGTTATGTTGGTACAAAGATGGTTATTTATTTATTTATGAATGAGATTTAGAAACCACTTCAATCTCAAAGGACTCCTGTGGTAAAGGCTGAATTGCTGTAAACTGCTGATGAAGAAATGACCTAAAACAAATTTCCTGATTTCCTTAGCAGTTCTCTTGAACTCTGCTCCCCTAAGCTGGACATCTGCCTCCAGATCCATTTCAGAATGCTACGCCACTGCCAGAGCCGAAGCTGATTGATTCAATTACCAAATCACTTGGTCTTGATGCATGAAATGGAAGGAAGGGGCCATCCTGTCTTGAGGATGTGTTGAACTAGCCAATGGGGAAGGATTAAAATGAGACTTCAGATAGATCAATATTCTTTATTATGATCATAGACCAACCAGCAAACCAAGTGTATAGGGTAGACAATAGAGCAATCAGGTGACACACCCTCTGACATTAGCTCATTAGTTTTTGCTGAATTTTGCAGACTTTTATCATGGCTCTGCAGCTTTCACTTATCCTCTGAATGCTGAGCGGCAAGGAGATAAATGTAAAAGGGACTGCTAAGTGTTGTCCTTAGGTTGTTATCAGCAGTGGTAGAGTCTGTGAACCCTGGCATTTGCAGACAATGGCATTTGCTGGCTCTGCTGATGCTCTTCGTGGCTTTTAGGAAAGGTTCAGAGGACCCAACAATCAAGAAACTTTCCTCTGGGTGAAAAGGTGCTTTTCCCTTTCTTTCCCTAAAGCCCATTTGATGGAGGCTTTGTGAATCAAGGTCTTCCATTAATAATAGGATGTTACTTAGGACAACTACTTCTTATGTTTTGAAAAGTTCTGTCACCCACCTTTTTAGGGATATAGTCAAGGGGACTTACTTCTGAGAAAACCCATAAAGGAGTGCATTGTTGCACTGGTTTTTCAATAGCACTGAGTTTTGGCAGCATGTCACAATTCAAGAGCAATTTATTTGTACTAAGTACATACACACAAAGAGCCTTAATTGAATAATTCTGTTATTATGTCATCATCTCAAGACTAAATTAGGCCTCCAAA